TCTACACCCTGCTGCCTAAGGAATTTTGTGACAATCCTGGCTCTGTGAGCCCTAGCGTTGTCGTCGTGCAGTAAAGAGGGTCGACCATAAAAGCCATGCACAGCTTGCAGGAATGGTACTGCTATAGGAGCCAGAATCTCGTCCCGATAACGCTGTCGGGTAAGACTACCGTCGACCACATGCAGTGGAGTACGTCCAGTAGGAGTTATCTCTGCCCAAACCATGACCGACCCCCCGCCAAATCGGTTGTGCGTTGCCACATTTGCATCTGTGATCCACTCTCCATTGCGAAGATAAGTCCTCTGCCGACCATCATGGAAGGACAAATTGAGTCTGCTTTCATCTGTGAAGAGCACACGAGACTATTGACGTTGATTCCAGTGGCCACGATGTCTACTCCATCTCAAACGCACCTGCCTGTGACGTGGTGTTAGTGGTGGACGAAATGCAGGTCGCATACAGCGGAGACCGGCTGCCCTTAAACGTCGACGAACGGTGCACCTGGATATCCTTACATTGTTAACATTGACGATCTGCTGCGTTAAGGAATCTGTTACGTAACGCAGTGTTAATCATGTGTTAATCATCTCGGATCGTTGTGACTCTGGGGCGATCAGGTCGACGTGCATATTCCACGGACCCATTGGGTTGAAATCTCTGCAACAGTCTACCAATAGCACTCCGACTCACATTATTTAAAGCGGACGGCAACCTGCCGCTGAATTTGACCAGATTCGAAAAGGCCTATAGCCTGACCCCTTTGAGCAAGTGTAAACAAACTATCTCATTTTAAGCTGCGATTTCAAACAGGCAACTGAACAGTGAACGACAGTGAACAAGCATCAATGCATGTGTATTGTCCTCCACAGTCCATGGATAGAGCGACTTGCACGTGCAAATCACTGACATTAAGTGGCAGGTGGATTTCCATATTGCCAATTTGAATAACAAATATGCCATTTGCAACAGAATGTATCGGACGTCAAAGAACGTAATAATGACATTTCAGCCTGATGTGTTTTTCCATACTGTTAAGATAGTTTGTAAAGCATTCAGTTGTATATATTTCGAACAAAAACGAAGATTTTACAACTTTTAAGAAATAGTGTTACCAATAGCTTTATCCTTAATTAATGACGCCGAGTATATATACAGACACAGGAATACCAGGCTTGGGGTCAGTATAATGTATCTGAATATGGTAGACAAGTTAAACTGCGTCTCAGTGGACCGGTACTCAAGAAGGCATATACCCGTAATATTAGAAGCAGCAACATACAAACTGTTTATACAAATGAACTAATCTCGACCTAACCTTATCTCAGCGGGTATCTCTACGTCAAGCAAAATGACGTCCACATGCTACAGAAAACCTTTTTACGAGTGGCTCTCTATCAAGGCTGGTTATAATACGAGAAATGAGTTTGAGATACTCACTCACAATGCATCTTATTGTGACCCTTTTGTTGCCTAGTGAAACATTTCCCCTAAGATCATGAGGCGTGAAAGCTATGAATACCATTAAACTGTGCAATTACTGCAGCGACTGGTTTGAAGTTGCTGGTTACCACAGAAAGAGATTTTCACGTTGTTATGTGAGTCTCATGTCGTCTACCGTACATACAGTAGATGAAGTGTATGTAATTTAATTATATTACTTCGATTAGTATAACTTGATATCCTTTGAAATATAATATTTTTCATGAATGGTAACGTAGACAACATATGACGATATGCCAAAGAAGTAAAAGCAGAAATAAATTATTAAGACTATATTAAGCGACGTGGCATCACTTCCATGATGATTCCAGATCAGAATATGTAGGTTCTCAGTAAGTCATGTTTGGATCGGCTAACCAGCTCTGTTCGACTACGTTTCATGGCACTTCTACTGTGTAGATCATCCATTATATTCAAATGTTATCGTAATTATTTAATTGTATACACATGAATCAAAATCAGTGTATGCTGAAATGGAAAGGATAATTGGGGTGTGTTAAGAAATCCAGATGTCAGAAAGCCTTTGCATATGTTTATGTTGGATGACATCAGTGGAACAGGATACACTTACTTTTTGCGATCACTTCTTAACACCTTTGATTGTGGTTCTCAGCACGACGCAAAGTTCCAAAATTTCACATCTAGTCAGAACCGTCATCAGACTCTGCTTTGAGATACTTAATAGATAGTTAACAGTGAGACAGCTTTAACGTATCGCAGTCTTGATAACTATAATTAAGCTGCAACACAGTTTTACAAGTGATCTATTCCAGAAAGCAAAAGTCACCGAAAGTCACTTCATTCACAGTGCGGGGTTGCCTTCTAGTCCATTTGGCTGCTAACGCGGGAGTACACTAAACGTATTTTAAGCACAGGGTAATAGCCCCTACGTGTGACTTCCGGGTATGACGTGTCGCTAAGGAATGCGAGGGCGCGGTGGGCGAGTTGGTTAAGGCGCCAGGCTAGTGATCCAGCGAGATTGAGGTGTCCCGGATCGAGCCCACCTGTGACCGGGTGTAAAAACCCTTGGTGTCAACTTTGTGTGCAGACTCTTTCAGTGTTGTCACAACCCCTGGTGTACAGTACACAACCCTGTGCACTTAAAAGAACCCACGAATCCGTTGGTATATGACCAGATGGGGCCCACATGAATTCGTGCGAACACCTAGTTGCGGGTACAGCAACGTGCAGTGAACTTGGACAAAGTACTGTGACTATGTGTACCAGTCCACCCAGCTGTGAATGGGTACCTCGTTAGGATGAGAAAGCCACAATAACTCGGTGCGCCTAGTGGCTGCAAGAATTGTATACTCCCCAGGGAGTTGAGATTGATAATACAATGTGCCGTTGAGATTGACATCCAGTGATCGAGGGGAAAAATATACAAGCGCCTTGAGCAAGCACTAGTTGCGCAATATAAATATCATATATATATAGTAAGGAATGGTAGGTCTGTACCCGGGTGTATCAATGCGCATAGTTTATTGCTAAGTATATATTGATTAAATTCCTCCGTGAATCGTTCCTACCTGCCCATCTCGTTGATTCCACAGTCTCTGAACTATATTGCTTTACATTCGACCAGTCTTTACATTAATGCAAAAGCCATAACTGCAGCAGGAATAGATATTGTCCAGGTTCTGAATTCATCATTTCACTAGGGCTCCTTTTCGTTTTGAGACTAAGTGTTTTCTAACGCCTTGTGTGCATGTCTCGTAACTGACGAATTCAAGTAGAAAACCATCACTACACAAGTCATCTACGAGTGGTGATCTTACCTCCGAGGAACACAGCAGTGAAGTGACCACGATACGTATACATGGACATTAGCGGAACCGGACCAGGAGGTTTAAGAAGAGCGGTCAAGACTCGAAACATCAGTGGGATACTGCTCCGGACCATGCTCAAGGGCCCATTATTGATCAAGTCACCCTAAACCTTTTCACTCCACAAACCCTGTCATCTTTCTGTTACGCAAATCTGCTTTTACTGTAATTCAGTTGTAATAGGCCGTCAACCGTTTCTGTGGATTGTCACCTCAGCTTCTCTTTTCTTATCCATTCATTGCAATAACTCATTACCGTTCAAGACAAATGAAATTAGTAACGACACAGATGGTATGTAAATGCATATACCATATGCCATTTCATTAGTACTCGTGACACGTGAAGATCAGGGTTAGGATTGGTCTTCAGTAACCCATGCTTGTTGTAAGAGGTGACTAACGGGATCAGGTGGTCAGGCTCGCTGACTAGGTTGAACATGTCATCGTACCCCAACTGAGTAGATAGATGCTGAAGATGCTGATCACTGGAATGTCTGATTATTTACAGACCGCCGCATTTAGCCGGAAAATTGCTGAGTGCGGCGTTAAACAACTAACCAACTTAGTAATTGTAGTAGATTATAATATACCAGCGGGGTCTAGCAGTAAAAGAAAATTTACATCTTAAAGCAAGCAAGTACACTCACACAGTTAATTATATTGAAATATACTTAAAAAATGTTTTTACGGTAAACAGTTTTTTTATCAAGATCTACTGCAAACCCGGTATGCTTTTATTTGACAAACAATAATGACAAAGTTTGTATTAAACAAAGCATCTAAGAAGGGAAAACGAGATAAAAATTGCTCCTGACCAACCCATGCTTGTATGAGGCTGGCTGACTTGGTTGATGGCTCATCACACTCAACGTGACCGGCGAAATAAAGCTGCGTTATCACTGTGCGCAGCGCTATAAACAAGCAGCACATTAATACAACAAACAAGTTTTTGAATACAATGTTCATAAAGGTCCACCGAATTGTTCACAGAATGAGCATCTTCAGTCAATGATGACTACAATATAGATATAAGTATATAGATATGTGTACTATTGGCCATGACGCCATGATAATTACACCCATTGATATTATGACAGTTTGAAAAGGCATGTGCCAAGATGCAATACATTTTATCATCCATCAGCTATGGATGCAATGGTAAGAATTCACAAATCTAAAGTTAAATACTATGTACCGAAATATACTAAGCAATATCGACATTTTTCGTCCTGTCATCCGAGTCATACAAAAGGAAGAATTCCATATAATTTAGCAACGCTTCTGTGAAATATGTCTACAAGTAAAACGCATATTGCGGAAATGAAATTTTACCTGCAAACCCGCCGATCTTCCAGAAGAAGGTGGAATATATACAGCAACAGCCATAGTCAGAATGAAATGAATTAAGTGCGCGATAACAAAAAAATCCACCCAAACAACCCATCCCCTAAAAAAAAATAACAAAATAACCAACCCCCAAAAACCAAAACACTTCCCAACAATAAAAAGAAAATAAACAAAGAAAAAAAGAAAAAACATTCAGCACAAAACAATTATCCTCCCCAAAAACAAAAAAAAAACCCACATAAAAAAAAGAAAGAAATGCCCCCCAAAACCCAAAAAAACAAATGCCAACAACAAAAAAAAACAACACAAAACAACAAACAAGCAAACATACAATACCACGATTAATGCTCAATACGACTGGAAATAATATTGAAGATACTTCCTTTTCTGAAAATGTATACAGCTGATACAAAGTAGTGTAAAGCAAAGGAAAACTGATTCATTACAAAGTTGTGTCAATCTTTGAATAGGTAAACATGTATTTGAAACATTGTATTAACCACTGTCATTGTAAGCCGTTAATGTGACGAAATGGCAACGCTACCTCACAGTGATTGTAAACGTTACAAAGTTACGTCACAGTATCATCTGTAACTAATCACTCTCTGAAGACAAAGTTGAAACGCGCATAAGGGAAATAACTGTTATCTATAACATGTGCGAATGGAAACAGCATAAACCTTCATGGAGCATTTGAAACCTAAGCTTAATTCAAAAGTATATTTTTCAAACCTTCCAAACACTAGCTAAGTCTGCTAGCTGACAACATGCATTAACGTCTACCACAATTGTTACCGTGACGTCAGATACAGGAGGCCCCTCTCCTCTTTTGTCACAAAGTATTACACCATACGCATAATGATGACGCAAACACTACCGTTGCACGTCGCTTATGAATATGCTTAGTTTTCATTACACCTAAAGAGACAAAAAGAGCATGTTCACATACGGAGTTTTGACCATCATTCCTATCGTTTTATATATTTATGATATATAATGTTAACGCCAGAGAATAAGCAATAAGGAATATACAACGAAACAGATTCCAATGGGTAGAAAATCGTGACCAATTAAGTAATGAACTTTTTCACGTATTATGTAACTGAACTGGAGTTATGAATTCGTCATAATCATGCACTTCTAAAATTCATTTTTCGGGAATCAGTGCAATATTCCACTTACAGTATTTGTGCCAGTTTATTCGTAGATCATGGTTTAAAGTAGAATATTATGAGTAAGCCATATTCACAGTGTTTTAAAGGGGTGTAGCTCAGGGTGTATTGCTATTGGATTAAACCCTTTTGCATCTTAACACGGCAGACGTCTGCAGCTTCGCTCTATCTCATGATGAAAGTTCAATAATATTCTTTATCATATATAGGTTTTGGCATTCATTCAGTCATACATAAATGATTTAATATGAATAATTTCTGTTTCATAATAATGTCAAGTCTTGTGCACTCAGATGGTTCAGATGGTGGTTTGGGGGTATTTGAGGCCTACTTTCTAGGCTCTTTGGTATGATTGTGGAGCCAACAAAACTCCTTTTGTGCTACCGCAAGTGGGATCAATCAGTTTGACTATTGACAGCATTCTTGAGTCACCCAGCCGAGACTACCGTTCATACTTTACTACTTTCATTTCCTTGGTACCTTGAACTTTTCAGGATACATATCCTGTCATATTACCTCCGTTAAAGACATATATTTCACTATATTTATTGGGCTAATTCTAGTATCATCAGCCAAACATAACGGATGTTTTTTTTCTTGTCTGACGCCGAATGTTTGTAATAAGGAATGTGATAAGCAAAACTTTTACGAAGGTTTGTTTGTTCAAATGGAAATTGCCTGTAAGGAGGTTTGTGGATATCATATACTTGCATGAGACCTGATTTCACATGAAATAATACAATTGAACAGACCATTATCGTTTTCAACACGATATACATAACAGTCTTAACATAATATTGAATACACCAAGGATGTAACAAACGAAAGCAGCTTGATCTCTCAATCTGGACACATGGATGACCATGCTAGTTGACAATGAACCGTTATATGATCCCTTGACCAGCCGCCGTTGAAGAAAACTGTTGCCTAAGTATGTTTTGAAGCTGCTGCATCTCTGGTATCTTCATCTCTGCCACCTTCGGTCCTAGCCCCGCTCCCCCCCATGTTGCCTATTAAACTCTGTCCTACTGCTGTTTGCAGCATCTTTTCCATTTTATCAAGTCTGTGAACAATATCTGCCTGTTTCTTGCTTTCCGCTTCCTTTGCAAGAACGTTCAGTCTGAGTCGGTTTCGACGCTTGAATTCTTCCCATAAATCCTTCCTTCCTGTTGCTTTGAGCGCCGCCTGCATTATTCGCTCTGAAAGGCGAGTGAGAGGGAATACATTATTTAACTGATGTGAGATTACAGACGTATCCAATCAAAGAGTAAGCGTAAGTACATTTACTAAGTTGTATATTCCACAGAGTCGTCATTAAATCATTTCATCGTTGTATCCTGATACAAGGAAACATACCCATTTCATCGTTGTCGGTCCGCCCAGTCTTTTCTAACTCTGATAAAAAGGATGAATTCATATATTCTATGTCTGATGTCAGGCATTTGCATATTTTCAGGAACTTTGAATTCAGCACACACTTTGCTTCTCTCTTCATCGTCTATTCGTTTTCCAAAGTCATACACAATCTCCTGTAATAGCTTGTCAACAAACATAACGCCTGCAAAAAAAAAACAGAAAGAAAATCACACAATATATTTCTGATTGATTAATTGCATGGAGATAGCAAAATTAGCACACGCATGTCTGGTCAAATAAAGTGAGGCATACAGAAAACGTATCGTTGAAATGCATGGACTGATAAACTTTCTCCTAGTTTATCAAACACACTGTCTAACACATATAACGTAGATAAACTACATACCAACAATCATGTAGATTGCGATTGTATATGACCGCAGAACTTCAAGATCGAGTGGTTCCAGTTTGACATCGAGGCTCTTCGCAGCGGACATGTATGCGGCAGCATTTTCAAAGTTGGTATGGACAGCTTGAAGGGACACCATCGATGTTGTTATGAGGTTTTCAACTTCTGTTCTCCCCGAGTTCCACTCAAGTTGTCGCGTGGCTTCAATCAACTCCTGAATGGCATTATGGTCCTTAGACGATTGCTTTGCCCTTTCAACAGCATCTGCAAACCTATCCCTGAACTGCTGTTGTCTGAAGATATAAATGTCTGGCGAGTGGGGTAAAGCTCTTATGTACGATATTTGTTGTGCCTGGTAATTCAGACTGACCATCAACGCATGAAAAAGCCTGTTATTCCATATCTGTTGTTCTGTGAGGGTGACTTTGATTGTCTGAAGACACTTGACCTTTTCTTGCAGTATGTCTTCCAACGTTTCGTTTGACGTTTGAGTCTCCCAAAGACAGTGCTTCACCATTTGTTCCGATTCCATGTGCCTTCTCAACTCTTCTGTTAATCTTTGGATGTCCGAATTGTCGCTGCCGTCGGCAATATTACCTGAAAAAAGAATTTCATTTGTTAATGTACCCACTAGAAATAAAGTTGCATACACATCTGACGTACATTAATGGCAAACAAAAAATACAAGTACTGACACCGAATTCCCACTTACAAGTTTATGGAGAATGAATGTGGGGGATCTAACCTTTTGATACTGTGACCTTCCTTCCGGATCCTTGAATGATATAATCAACTCCCATATCTGTTAGCCAGCAGAAATCATCAATTTGGATCAGCAAATCAGCCGCTTCTACGGGTAACATGATGGTGATGATGATGCTCTCAGAAGGTTCCACCCCTGCCAGGGTAACACAGGACGGTGGCACCCCTACGTATCTAGCGATACGCATACATATGTCCTCAATGGAGATGCTTTTAAAATTGTCACCGCTCCCTTTGACATGGAATTGTGAAAAGGTGAAACCGTTTTCTGAAAAATAAACTCATAAATTAACCAAACTAATATGTGCAAACTCCATTACGCTGAATGTAATTGTTACACCTAAGTCGTCTCTGTTCCATGCAGAAACATTTGGCATAAAATGCAAGATCATTGATGACACCAGGTGTTTGCGAGGAGATTTAGCATGTCATGTGTTTGGTGCTCCAAGCAATATTTATTCCACACGGCAGCGACCAGCACACAACCAGTCCTTAAATGATCATCATGGATGATATCTCAACTCAATTCACACTGAGTTATTTTGAATTTTCTTGATAAAATATGTTTTACTTCTCTCAGATAAGGCGTCACAAGTCATACCCCATGTAATGTTTGTCTTACCTGGCTTCTCTTTTGGCGTGAAGAAATGAATTGGTTGATGTGCACATGATCGAGCATAAGCGGCTACAACACTGCATTGTGTTTTGAGCCCAACACGGTATAGCAAAGCCTGAAGAAATGTCAAGTTGTATCGATTAAGGATTCGTGTTGTCATAAGGTGTCTAAAGAATCTGGCTGGATTGTTGAACTTCTCAATTATCTCCTCTGGGCATCCATTTTCTCCTGTTGGAAACAAATGTGTCGCTGCAATCTAAATTCACACGTGAAGTACTATGTTTTACGTGGTTTACATATTACAAATTGAACACGATCATTAGTGATGAAAGATTTTTGTGTGTGTTTAATCGATCTACAAGATGCGCTCATAAAATCTAAATAACGTAGAATGTTCAAAGTTCACACATATCATTTAACTTGCATGAAGTGGTCAAATTGCATGTGATAAAGTATGCTCATAAATAACGACAATCTGTACTAACCTATCACGAAATGCTTCATCCTCTCAAGCTGCTCGGTAGTGATCTTGTTGTCACAAGTAATTTTGTCTATCACAGATCTCAGTTCAAAATCATCAGAAGGGTTGAAAAACATGTTGTCCGTGATCTTCTCTCCTGTGATATCTGTTTACATATTCAAAAGATCAACACGCAAACATATGTAATGTCCAAAACAGTTCTTATTGTATGTATAATCGCTTAACATTATACTCACGTTTTAGTGAGTGAGTATGATTTTACGCCGCATATAGCTATCAGCAATATCACGGCGGAGGACACCAGAAATGGGCTTCACACATTGTCCCCCTTGTGGGGAATCGAACCCGGGTCTTCGGCGTGACGAGCAAACGCTTTAACCACTAGGCTACCCCGAAAGAGCGTGTATAGACAAATTCACTAGGTTGCCAGACAAGCATAAAACGTCAAATACAAGAGATTTATTATCGGTTACCTTGGTCGAGTTGTGTGTCTTGTAGAAGAGTGTATAGGTCAGGTCGTAATGTCTGAAGAATTTCACAAAACACCATATAGCCATCGTTTCCCTTTCTCTTGAGACAACCCAGGATGTAATGGTTCTGCTCCGACTGTGGTGACAATGAACGAACAGTGTCACATTCATCATCACTGAGCATACCCTTTTCATACAATCTGTCCAGAAGAGGGAGTGCCTGCAGGCTATTTTTCAACGTAACATGGTTCTTGCGTAGTCGTTGCCTTTTATCTGGGTCCATTTCGAACTGTGAGGGGTACCTTTGGAGAAAAGGAAACGAATATACATTCATGAATTAGAGCAACTAAAGTATATCTGTTACGTAAATAAGTGCAATAAACGTGTGTTTTTGTGTGTGTATATTCCTTAAGAACACAAACTACTTCATTCGTGGTGTAGTCGTGTGTTTGTCCAGTTTGCCTTGATTCGTCCGACAGAGGTGCGACATACCAGAGGCTTTCTTTAAATGAAGATTATACAACTGAAAATACAACTTTAATACAATTCCATACAATACATCAAATGAATAGTTTTGCAATAAAAGTAGCACATAAACATACATTTACGCCTTTTGAGCATGTATTGTATTTTATATTTTCACAAAAGGTGTAATTCTGACCTGAATGTGTTTCACAAAAAGAGCAAATCTGACCTGAATGTGTTTCACAAAAAGAGCAATTCTGACCTGAATGTGTTTAACAAAAGGTGAAATGCAGATAAGCAGTCGTAGGCTTTGTGTACAATGTGTCGTTTATTAAAATACAAAAGTTAGTGTTTATGTGTTTGTTTCATCGTTGGTCGTTGCCTACTACAAATATGTGTTTTTTTCTCGATATATGGCTGGTCATACAATAAATCATGGCATATGTATTACATGTGTTACCCTATTTCCAGTAATTCTGAAATTGCATATAAGTGAATAGATAACTACATGAAAGACTTGTAGCCCGGAAGTGATAACTTGTTTCCTGTTTGAGATTGTCCGGTTATGAATATACCATCAGCAAATCCCATGCACTGGGCTGTTATGACATATCGAGTGCCTCTCACACGAACAATCAATATGTCCTTTCATTCAGTGCAGTGAGGCATGATAAAACCATCTTCTTAACGATGCCCAACATACGTTCCTCCAATTCGCCGATGCGTTTTAGTCGGTGTTGTGTCGATCTGGCCGATAGTTTGTCCATGTTAATCTAGATTACATACACGTCTGCATGTTAAACGATGAAGAAACATACTTCTAATTAAGATCAAATAGAGCATAACAATGCATGCCGTAATCACTTCCCGAATTTGTAACAACAGGTAAAGTAAGTGGTATCTATTCAGTTTCTATTAGAAGAGACATCAAATTACTTATGCATGACTAAATAAACGGTTACAGGACGATGGATACTTACAGAAATATCTCAGCGTTAAAATACCAACCCTTTGACGAAATACACGTTTAAGGATTATAACATAACACAGTAATAACAAGGAATTGCTCTCCTTTTATATCGTGTGAAGATGTACAAGTAACAACATTTGAAACATGTCGTGTTTCAAAACTGAATAAATATCCCACAGTAATAACCATATGCAATGCTTAAGCAAATAATTATTAACATTAATCTTAATAGCCATATCCTTTAGTAGAACAATATAGTCACTTGTGTTTTAATGGTGCCAAATAGCATACTATATTATATACCTTTCATGTTCATGTAAAAGTGTTTGAGTGAGTCTGCAAAACCAATAAATGATAAAGCAATAGGCCTAAATTTTCATTCAGCACTGACACATATATTCTTATTTATTAATTTATTAATATCAAACAGCCTAATTTTTTACCTTACTACTGTGATTATGTCACCTTGAATAGGAATGTCATATTTTGTAAAAGCATTGTTAAGTGAACTGGTGTACCGCAGAGAAATCTATTATATTTAAATTGTGCCCAGTAGTTTTGGCTGCTTACTCATGTCATGGTGCCTGGGTACTTTCTTCATCCATATGTAATCTATATGAAACAGCTGGATTAAAAAATTAGGTGAGATTTTCTTATTACTCAACAAGATCATATCAACATTGTATTAAATATTAAGGCAATAATACCTTTTGTAAATTAGTTATTTTTGCATTTGCCTGTACATGCAGCAATGTTGTGAGACCTCAAGTAGCAGCGTAAATATGTCAGAGAATATTCTAGGAAGTGACAATACAACCTCAATAGTACCTACATCATATTCACCAAATGGTATGATTTTAATACACCTTAGCTTTTCACCTTATCACCGTGAATATGTTATATTGAATGGGAATTTCACATTTTGTATTCATGAAAGTGACAATACAACTTCATCAGAACATGTATGATATTCACGTTTTGAAATATCAAAACGATAAGAACATTATAGGTACAATAATGTAACCTACATATGGCAGTGTCGACAACAAGACGTTTCTGTCGTATGTTAGAATGACGATACATGCATGTATTAGTTCCTTCCCCGAACAACAATACAAGGAGGTTGCTTCAACATGGCCGACTCTGCACTTACTCCCGCCGGTTTTACAAGAAAGATTTAATAACTTAAAGTGATATCCTGTGATTCATCTGTTAAGAAAAGTCGGTATGTGTTCAGTCAGATGGCTGAAAATCAAATAAATACTCACGATCGTTCACCTCCCGACAGTCACTTGAGTGCCACGGTCAAGATGACCTCAGTATCACGATCAGTGTTGCGTTTATTCATTACAATGTCACGTGACACTGTCGCAATCTATGGATTGTTCGTGATCATTTCAAATAAAGAAACATGCGTAACGTATACCATTCGAAACTATTTTATAGGCAAGCTGTTGTGGTGTTGTAATGTACTGATCCGCGATGATATAATTAGAAATTTGTATTTTTTAATTTTATTTCAGAATCACCATGAATATGTTACAAAATCACCAAAACAATAGTGATATAATTTGATCACTGTAACAAATGTCTGGTACCTTACACGGAACAAAACAGTGTAAGGCATTCACTATAACCTTGTTTAACGTGTACTGGCCATGTTGTGCATAGTCCTTTACATTGTTACTGGCCACGCACCTATCTTTCCAGGAAGAGTGAATGGCGGCCTTTCGTGGAACTCATACAGCCTAGTCTGATTATATCCATACAGCGTCACGCGTTGTATAGTAACACGCGATCGATGCACACAGTCATTGCAGCAAATAATGCTGATGCTTCCTATGCATTCTATTTATAGACAATTCAAGGTGAGGTGAAATACGGTTTAAAGTCACACTTAACATTATTACGCTCATATGACGACGTGCATGCGTGTGTATGGCTGTTTGTACTAGCCCAGACTTAAGCGGGTTTTATAGTGCGAGCTCACTAAGAATACATGCCGCAGTTGAGTATGAATACCCTACTCAGACACATTATACTGACTGACTCACTGAGTTTGGTTTTACGCCGCTTTTAGCAATATTCCAGCAAAATCACGGCGGGCGACACCAGAAATGGGCTTCACACATTGTACCCATGTGGGGATTCGAACCCGGGTCTTCGGCGTGACGAGCCAAAGCTTTAACCACTAGGCTACCCCACCGCCCCAGACACATTATGCTGACTCCGAGACAGACAGATAGACAGATGTTTTTATTTTTGTCTCACTTGTTTATACAACCAATCGCTCAGCGATTTATGGGAGACACTTCTGCATAAAAACTAAAGACATATATAATATAAACGATATAAAATATATATACATGTACACGTTATTTGTATAAAATATCACGACGTGTATTGAGAATCTTATTGCAGGCCTTGGCACTATTACAGGTTAGGGTCGGGATGATAAGTGCAGCATAAAACTGTTCGTGTGGAGATAAAATTTCAAAACACTCTAACTTGCTACAACAGGAAAAAAATAGCTCACACCCAACGGTGTCGTATAAAGGACAGAAAAGTAAAACGTGCATTTCATCTTCTGTAGTGTTTACACAATTAAAACAGTATCTATGGTTAAAATGCAAGCTCTCATAACGTCCTGTTTCAACCCTAAAAACATCTGTGAGGTAGCTCTCAGCTAGATATTGCCCCTTAAACTGTCTATAATGCCGAAGTTTGCTGAGACCGGTTGATGAACGGTTGTGGTCAGGATTAGCATTTAGTTTTTCACTCCAGTTCGACATATAGTTCTCAAAAGATATTCTTGCAACTGTCTTAGTTAAAAAGCGGCTTTCTAGAACGTTTCACAGGCTGTTACGTGACCCATTCCATTGTCCTCAAGATATTCCTTAACACGCCGAGTCCAGCACTTTCTGTTCATGCTCTTAGCCCAGATGAATACACGTTTGTTCATCCTTCTTTCGTTCATGTTGACTGACCGTGCATATGTTCTGGTTACTGTCTCTCCACTTGGCGTGTCCAACCTGAATCACCGTTCACACTGAGCTTAGGGGTGTATTTCCCTACGCCCACAAACAAATCGTATCGCTCTGTGGTGAAGGGCGTTGACCGCAGAATGTTCACTGGTTTCCCATATTCCCGCACCATAGTCTAGAATCGGCCAAACCATCGAGTCGTAAAGCATCGTGTATACATTGACAGGTATTCCTCCAAGGTGCTTGAATTCAGCGATGAGTAAACATAAGGCTCTGTTTGCTGACTTCACCGCACACTTCACCATTGCGTTATAGTTCAGATGTTCTGACAGCATGATTCCAAGGTACTGATATTGTGAACAGATGTCAAGTTTTATCTCCCCAAAGTTGAAGGTGATTTCGGTCTGTGGCACTGAAGGTCCCCTAAAGTGGACAACCTTTGATTTATCCCTGTTCACCGACATCTTGTTCAAGTCAGAGGGTCCCTCTTCGAGCCGACCAGTCCTTGTTGTACCCATTAATGCCGAGCGCCATGCAGGGACCAACAAGTGCCATAATTTAACGTCTTTTGGTATGACGCGGCCGGGGATCGAACCCGCGACCTTCCGCTCTCCTGGCCGATGCTCTAACCATTACACCACGGAAGCGGTTCTAGAATTCAAAGACAGACTAAATAAGTCTGGATGGCTGCTTAACCACTACTTTGAACTGCCATATTTGTAGTAGTATCAAAGAAGACTGTGGTGCTATTCCACTAAAAGAATGAAGAAGATGAGATCCATCGATCAACTCTACGTTTTAACAATTGCTGATGCATATAGTCGCCAGTCGATATAATGTAGATTAAGTTGTGATTTGGATATACTTAAGAAATACAGTAACTCTTCCCCCACGTATAGTGTAATAAAGCGGCCTCGTACTTTAACGATTATAATTCATGTCAAAAGTGTACTTTATTTCGCTATACATGGGGGTAGAACGAACTGTATTTATTTTCTAAGATGCCAAATTTAATATATCTAACGACGCCAAATCCAAGGCAGAAAACAAACAGAAAGCGACGGTGTCGGTGACCTGAATTAACAACCCTCGTTCTTGGCTATCTGACCCTCTTCTATTGACGTGTCTGTCCCTCTTACTTTAAGGCTCACGTTAGCAGAAACAAACAACAACAAAACAACAACAACAAACAAATGATAAACAGTTTGATGACGGTTTACGTTCGGGTTAAATATTTTTTTCTAAATTATTGTAATTACATCTGTGATTAACGTAAACCATATGGGGCAATATAAACGTCACATTTCTACTACCAATGTCAGTTTGGATTAGTACATCCAGATGAAGCTGGCTAGTCACGCGACCATTCCCATTGACGGGAGTCTAACAGAGACATTATATCCGTCGAAAAACATAAACGTAACGTTTCCACCTGTTAGCAGGGCGGTGGGGTAGTCTAGTGGTTAAAGCGTTGGCTCGTCACGCCGAAGACCCGGGTTCTAATCCCCACATGGGCACAATTAGTTAAGCCCATTTCTGGTGTCGCCCGCCGTGATGGTGCTGGAATATTGCTAAAAGCGGCGTAAAACCAAACAGTCAGTCAGTCAGCAGTGATGTTAGCCGAGTGAAGCAACTGCAACCCAAGAAACGGGATGCTACGGAGTAGTTTACTGTAGGAGTCGATGACAACTGACATGCATCGTGACGTTGGTTACCACGGGGTACGTTTGATAACGAGAGGATACTATCGGTGCCTTTGATCTTTTAGCAAAGCATCTTAGAAAAGTATATCAAGTCATAAAATCCTGGTTGGTCCGTCTGATGGTCATTTAGTTTCTTTTTCTGAAGATGTAATGTGTCTACTGTTTGAAATTATTATACTTATACCACCATACGACGGCGGTCTGTAAGGAGCCACACAAAATCAGTATACAGGATAAAAATCCTTAATATTTCATGAATCGTGCACATACCGAATGAAATGTATGGTCATAATACGATCAAGAGGGATATTTCTCAAAACAATCCACACAAAAGAATTTCGTGCATGTATTTAGATGGGAACTATTGTCCGGCCTCAATTGTGGAGTCAAAAGAATTGGTTGATGGGCACATGATAACAGCCTACATGCGTTTGAATTATGAAGCCATTAAGCCCCATGCACCCTAGTTGACTTTAGATTTTAAACAGAAAACAATCATTTTAATAAATTTAAACACAGAGGTTATAATGGGTCAGTGTACACAGATCAAACAGTATCACATATATCATCAGAGGCCACAGATTTAAAAACTATGTATTAATACATGTGTATACGCTTTTGTATTACTGCGGGCGGTGGGGTATCCTAGTGGTTAAAGCGTTTGCTCGTCACGCCGAAGACCCGGGTTCGATTTCAAACATGGGTACAATGTGTGAAGCCCATTTCTGGTGTCCCCCGCCGTGAAATTGCTGGAATATAGCTAAAAGCGGTGTAAAACCATATTCACTTACACTGTTACATTATCAGATCGTGTGTACAAGAATTCCTTATATCACTATCACTGGGATGCTACACATACATGCAAAGAAGAGATATCTATCGTCGATTAAGCAGGTGAGTTGTGTCTCTTGCAGAAGAGTGTATAGGTCAGACCTTAATGCGTGAAGAACGTCGAGAACGTAACATAGCCATGGTTTCGATTCAACTTGAGATATTAGAGGCTGTTATGGGTGTATCTGCTCCGAATTTGGTGATAGTGACAGAACAGTTCAAGTCATCATCTCTGAGTACTCCTTATTCATATAATCCGTTCAATAGATGGAGCCCCCTCCCCTCTCTCTCACACACACACACACACATCAGATTGTAATTATTCATTCAAACGGTGTGTAGTTTCTGGAAATTGTTTGGAACAATTTGCTCAGATATGTTTTCTTCCCCTTGTTAGCGATAAGAAATATCCCTGTAAAGTTCTAAATTACAGATAAATGATGTATACGGGTACTTTCGATTATATATTTCTAATACTTTAAATATCATTCGACTATGAAATGGATTGCTTGTAACATAATTTGATTTGATTGTGATGGGTGAGGTGGATAAGCTCACCGTATCGCGAACAGTAAGCATCGTCACCGGTTGATATGTGTAACATAAGTTCATGATATACTCGGGGTCGTAACATGGGCTCATGGAAATGGACAACAAATCACGACTATAAGATATCAATTTCCGTCCTTTGAGAACATGTATGAAATTGAAAGAATAAACTTTTTTAAAACGTCTAACCATTGTGTATATCTCATTAGATGAATCCAATGAGTAGGTAATAATTAGTTTAGGCACAGGGAAAAATACTCAACAATACCAAAAACACATCCCAAAACGGCCCGGACTCTGCTGTTGACAAAATGCACTATATTGTACTGCACTAACATGTATCGCGTTGTATCACTACTGGCATATATTACCACTTCCAAAGATGGAGATCGTGCGATCGTGTAACTGTTATTTACATTTGTTCATTCAACGTTACTGTATTACAAAAGGAAAGCCTACCCGGAATGCATACAATTTGATATGTTTATGGCCTATAATATGTGTACAACAATGCGTGTCATGTGTTAAAAAGCTTATGCAAGTTGATCGATGCACACAACCATGTTGACTTCAAAGTGGCTTCAGATCACCCTTGCTTGCCAGCCTGTTACCAACACCAACGCTGGTGTTGTCAGCCATGTCCACAAAAAGCATAATGTCTTGTGTGTGCAAATACATGATGTTGTCTCAAACATCACCAAACAACTGAGTGAGTGACAAACATATCCTTTTTTATGAAGGTATGCATGTCAAATATGAACGCCAGAACAGTCAAATATGTGTCATAGACGGATTTGGCGCTTTTGAACATTTGATGAATATGTAATTTGCCAAAGTCAATTTATGGATAATTGATGAATATATATGATTTTTGTGGTAAATTTGGACTGCATTTGAATTGAGTTACGTAACTCTAAAACATCAACGACAGAGAATTAGTAATGGTAGATCTGATATGCCAATAAGAGGACATTACTGATGTTTTTGAAACTGAAAATAATGCACTTATTTTGAATTACGTCTCCTGCGTGCAATTGCAGGGACTTTCCTTCTTACAGCTGAAGCAACTCTGAAGATATGTTTTCCCACAATGTTTTCATAACATCTTCACTGGTATGTATATACAAGCCAGTGCACCCTTGTAAATGATACATCAAAACAGATTGGATGCTGAAGTACATATTATCAGTATCTATGACCAACGCGTTAATATAAATTGTTATTTTATTTCATCACAATCATTACAAAATGAAAAAATCCATAAAATTCATAGTAATTATTAATAAATTATGCTTCTGTTGCTAAACATGCCCAAATAAAATCGCATGTTAGCTTTTATCTGTGACCTCACCGGCTAGAGTCCGTTTGGCTCAAAAGCGGGCCGATGAATTGCAATCTAACTCGAAAACTTATAAACATATAATACTCAATGAAACGCTGATCATAATAAAAACACCAGACCAACCAATGTCCTGAAATTAAAACAAGCTGTTTTTTCGTAACTTATCGGTCTGCTTTTGAGCCAAACTGACTATAGGAAGAAATATGTTATCAAATTATGCACACAATGTGTTGTCTGTCCCGAAATTCCGATAGTAAATGTGTCAGTTCCCTTTTTATGTGCAAACCGTACTGCCTCTTTTCATTAGTGATATTGATGTAATCAGAGGAATCATTATGTGTGCATGGTTATGCCTTTGGCTTGCCAAAATAAACCCCTGAGTTACCTCATGAAACTTAACAATTATAGTAAGGAGCGTCTTCCTTTGAAGGGAAAAATGGCATTTTGATGCCTCCCTCGAGATTGTAAAGGGGAAATCCAGTCAGACCAGACGCATTTTGAGCTACAAGTTTCTCTAGGACCTTTTCTATGTTATCAAGTCGGCCGGGGACATCAGTGGTGTGTCTCTGGCGTTCCGCCAGTTTCCGGAGCCTCTTTTTGTTACGACTGAAAAAATCTGACCACAACTCTTCTCTCCCACACACTCGAACTGCATCGTGTACGACACGTTCTGAAAAAGATATGTCCATTTATACGTAAACAATTGGACTGTATAAGTAAGATAAAGAAAAAACACATAGCTATAACGATATTACTAAAACATCTTAAAGAAAATTAAATTGTACTAACCCACATCTTGGTCAGTGAGAGACATGTTTTTCTTGCAATCTGCAATAACAAGACGTACAAAGATGTTGCGCTTCAATTCGTCAGATCTGTGTTCTGGCGCCACCTTGTGGTGATCATACAGCTTGTCCACTTGTTTCTTAGTCAGCTTCTGGCCCAGATCAAGTAGGATTCCCTCTAGATCGGGTTCCAGTGCAATTTCTTGAGCTGCATATAGAACAAAATAAAATAGTGCAACACATGATAAACGACATTCTGTAAAATAGAAGACTAACTTGTACAAATATGGGATGCTTTCGGGGCAGGAAAGTGACCTGAATGTGTACTCCCTACATTCTCCTACGTCAATTATTGAACAAGCTCAATATTGTACGTCCCAAATTCTAAAGAACTTGGGACTCAAAGAACTTATCCTCCTGTGATGTTTCATTAATAAACTCACCAACATTCACTTTCAACTGTAAAGTTTGCTGAGGAGGAGTAACTGGAGGACACACCGTGTCGACACCTAGGGAGCGTCCAACCATCTTGTACATCAGACACTCATTGAGGTTGGCCTGTAGACATTGGACCGTAACATTGAAAGACTTCCTGAATGCATTTAGTATACGAGCGTTGCTGATCTCTTTCAACAAGGCATGCGCATCGATGACTTCATACAAAACATCCGACCTGCACACCCTCTTTGCTTTTTCCACCACATATTTAAAGTGTGTTTGGGCGCTTCTCTCCCTGATGTCCCATGTGCTTCCTCCAACACGTGGCACAAGTCTCTGCAGTAGCATGTGTACTACGTTCAGGGTGACCATCAAGGCGCAGAATAGCCTTGTGTTTCCACGCATTTGCACGTCTAAGTCTTCTTTGCATTTGTTGACCTCAATTTCCTTTCTGTCATACATGTCACGTAGGGTTTCATTCGTCATCTGTTCGTCATACAGACATTGTTTCAGCTGCTGGTCCTCTCTCAGCTTTCTATCCAGCTCAGATTCCAAGGTGGCAAGTTGGCCCATTGTATCAGGAGTTGAGTCAGAATGTGCTGAAACTGTGGAAGTGTAATTAGCAACGTATACAGTTATTAATGAACAATTACATAAAGGTTATTAAACACGTTAACGATCATGATCTCATTCAGAAATAGAATCAAAGAATATTCACGTTGAAAAACTGTCAGTCATTGAAGTTTGAAGTAATGTTTTCTCATTTCTATTGATCTGAATGTGACTGATTACCCATATCAAACGGAATTGATAACAAGTGTCGAAATCACACATGGGTGACAGCGCTAAGGCATGTCCTGAATGTGGTCATTTGGCATCTGACAGTGGAGACTATAGTGCTCCGCCTGGCTTATTTGGTTTGACGCCTATTTCCTGCAACAATAACATACAAGGCCACGTTTGATGTTTTCTTTTAAGTCCCGAAACCATTCCAACCCTCGGCCAACTAATCAGGCAAATCCCTGAGACCTATGTAAACAAAAGTATGCAAAAGTGTATATTTCAATTTATTACCCACGTGGTCAACGTATGGGTAGTTGCATACTAATCGCCACACGAGTGTCGTATGGCGTTGACCTGTGCCGTAACGAATTGACCTGTGATTCTAACGATTTGATTGGATAACCGATGACCTCTCGGTTAGGTCACTTAGTGACGGAACTGCTTTTCCATTCATAACAAACACGTGAATTCATTCATTCTACAAGGTATATGCATTGTGGGAATGTAAACGTTGCGAGAGAAGTCGTATCGCTGTTTAATTGTGAGTCGAACTGCGACATTATATCCGTCGAAAACATAAACGTAATGTTTCCACCAGTGATGTTAGCAGAGTGAAACAACTGCAAACCAAGAAACGGGGTGCTAAGGAGTACTTTACTGTAGGAGGCTGTACGAGGCGATGACAACTGACATGCATCGTGACGTCGGTTACCATGGGGGCAGACGGAAATGGCTTAGTGACGTCAATACAGTGTGACGTCATACCAAAAATGTTCTACAGTACAGAATTCTTCCGCAACCTATTTATGAAACCGGTTCAGTTTGTAACCATAAAAATAACAACAATACGCTATTTTGTCAATTTAATGCATGTAAGGCATGGGTAATAAATAAAATACCACACTCGGTTTCATTACATACGAATTATACGAAACTCGTGACCTTCCCATGGTATCTGACCTCGCTTTCCCTCGGTCAGATACCACAGGAAAACCACCTCGTTTCGTATAATTCGTATGTAATGAGACCTCGTGTAGTATTCTCTATATCCGAAACATTGCCCAAATACGTCGATTTATACATCTTAAGACAGTAACATCTCTATTTCAGTGCTGTGTTGTGCCCCAAATAGATTACTGTAAGGCTCCCATTGGATTACCAAAGCAATTGATAGCAAAGCTGCAGCGTGTTCAGAATCCTGCAGCTGGACGTCTGACAGAGACACAGAAAGACAGCCACATTGCACTAGTGCTACAGAAATTTCATTGGTTGAAGGTTGCTTACAGAATCACTTATACAGTGCTCCTGTTAACTTTCAAAGAAGGCACCTATCCCCTGTGTATCTCCAGGGACTCCTCCAGGGGTAAAAGCCCGCGAGGTCTCTTGGATCCGTGGGACAAGGCATGCTGTGGGTTCCACACGCAAGGACCACCACCTATAGAGATTGCCAGAGCAGCTCCACGACTCTGGAATGATCTGCCATGAAAACTGAGACTCAATCCTAAAATCCCACCTTTTTCAAAGCCTAGACCAAGTGGACATTGTTGATACATATAGATGCATCCTCTCAAAGCGCGTTAGAGCAGTCATACTGACTGGATTCTAGCGCTATATATAATGTTTTGTTTTATTATTATTATTTTAAATCAGTAAATGATAAAATGTGAAACGAAACTGACAAGGTCCTTGAACCTGATCAACCTGACCAGATCTTAACGAACATCAACGTGGGTGCTAGGACTTTCCTAACATACGGCTCCAAAATGGAAATAAGGAACTTTATTTTTCTGATTACACCTACTAATGCTTGTTCCTTTCACACCAACAGTCGATGTGCCATATGTGATGCTGTCAACGCCAAGCTCAGCTAACCAAGAGCAGTCTCCAAGCTCCATCAGAAGATGCAGTGCATGATCTGGAACCATCACAGTCAGGAGGATACTGTTGCTGGGTTGTATGCCTACAGGAACAACACGCGACCGGGGCACGCCCAAATACCTCGACACGATGTTGCATATTTTTTCAATGGTTATCCCTTTGAAATTGTTGGTATTCCCTTGAACGTGGAATTTGCATAAAACATATCCATTGTCTGAAAAATATATCATATCAATGTACATTATATCAACATGATTTATGATACTGCCACACTGCCACATTATATGAAAACATATACGAATAAATACATTGTAAGTGATTACGTGTCATTTGATTAATTAACAATGGCTTTAGTTTTTAGTTCGTGTTTACATAAAACTACAAATAAACATATTGGCCACTCCCACTAGCTGACTACTTGACTACTTGCGAGACGTGATCAGCATTTCTTGTGTCTAGCCTGTGACTTTACCCTCGGGCTTTCCAGAGCCTTTGAGGTCGAACATCGACCACCAAAACTACAACTCCTCCCTGAGATAAGGTTTTAGAAAATTAACTGAAACTGACCTAAAACTAGAGGACTGTCCTCAATCGAAAGGAACAAAACGAAACGGGTTTTTTTTTCAAATGTTCCAAGGTTCGGAAACGATTAGTCAATTTACTAAATTCCTCTGTAATATGAAGTGAAATGTGATCACGAAATTACAAAATATGTTTGTATATATATCAAAAGGATTTATGGAAAAATAGTTATTATCTAGACCCTGTTTGCTTGGCTAAACCGTCTTGACATTCAACGAATTGTCTGTTGTTCAAGGGAGATAACTCCACAAAATATTCCTGTTTTCAATCAGCAGATTATATTTGCATCGTGTTAGACCTGTGTAAACCATACGTATAGTTTGGTTAAGTTCGAAAGAAAACAAATGAATAGTTTTAGTAAGGCATAATGCACTCGCTTATAGATGGTTTGCATTAATTCCAGACTGGGCGGGTAAAACTAGCAGTGGCCGCATCAGCTTGGCAGAAAGAACGCCTGAAAACGTTGTAGTTTTGGTGGTCGATGTTCGACCTCAAAGGCTCTTGGAAGCTCGAGGGCAAAGTCACAGGCTAGACACAAGCAATGCCGATCAGAACTCGCAAGTAGTCAGCTAGTGGGAGTGGCCAATATGTTTATTTGTAGTTTTATGTTAACACGAACTCAAAACTAAAGCCATTGTTAATTAATCAAATGTCACGTAATCACTTACAATGTATTTATTCGTATATGTTTTATATAAATGTGGCAGTGTTGCAATGTATTAAACTAAGAAAATTGTATGTTAAAGCCCAAAACAAAGAATATCTTTTTAAAGACTTGAAAAACTGCCCATATGAATAAAATGCTTTAGGATAACACAGGAATAAGACAGGGTTACCTCCCTTACGCCGAGCAAAGGTGACACAACTCATACATCCATATCTATATAATTATATTAAATATTTGTTTTCGTTTACATAAACGCACGTTTAATATTTTTGAATTAGACGAGGATATTCCTAAATGTGAAAATCCATTTAGCGACCAATCATAACTATTATGTTGTCCTTTGTACCCTATATTCACATACGTTACCTGGAAATGGGCTGTCAGCGAGGAAGAAGTGAATGGGTTCATCATCACTGACCCTGGCGAATCTTGCAACATCTTCGCACACGTCTTTTAGGCCAACACGCCACAGCAGACTCTGTAGAAATGCCAGATTGTAGCGAGTCACTAACATCTTATCCATCAAATGCCCAAGGAATCTCGCTGGCGAATCTAGTATTCTGATGACATCTGCTGGACAGCCATTTTCACCTGAGAAATGATTATAACATAAAAGTTACAGTTGGGATTATACACACACGCACGCACGCACACGCACATACACGCACGCACGCACGCACACACGCACGCTCGAAACAAAACAAACAAAAACAAAACACAAGCATAAATATTGACAATTGATTCAACAGAGGTACTTTTTTTCTAATAGAGATAGAGAACACATTGTACGTAACAATAATGAAACCTGAAAATGCATCTTAAATGATGACACACACACATATACACGTACATACATGCACACACACCCATCCATCCATCCAAATGCATGCATGCATAACATACGTGTATTATCAACAATAAAACCTGAAAGTGCCTCCTCTGAACAATGTTTTTCATCCTGGTAAGCTGCTCCTCTGTGATTCTGTCGTGTCCGGGTCATTTGGTCAATCAATCCTTTCAACTCGAAGTCATCAGATGGTTCAAAAATATATTTCCGTCTGAAGGTTTTCCTGTAATCTCTACCATCAACATGGACACATATGAACGACACATATCAATGCATTTTATATGATAGCAATACATTTATATGAAAGAAAAGATAATATGTGTTTGACCATTAGTGTTACTAAACAAAATGATAGGTATATACAAATGAGTTGATACTCTGATTTCAAATTCCAGAAATTCAACGTGAACATCAGGTGTTATGTAATTGACTAGGTGTAATCCTAACAACAACTATTATTCAATAACGAACTAAAACCCACTTTATTTCTGTTACCATTGCCAGGCTACGACAACATACATGATGTGTATATTACTGTTTACGTTGTCTTGATTTATCTGATTTGATTAAGTACAAACCTTGATCCATCTCTGTGTTTTGTAGAACAATTAAACAAATGCGGTTGGCCTTCACTCAAAATCTCACAAAATGTGTCGTACCCTCTATTCCCGGTAGCTTTAGAGATTGTCAGCAGTTCCTGATTCTTATCGCTGGCTGTGCTCTTTGCACGAACAACCTCACAATGTTCATCGTTGAAAATACCTTCACTGTACAATGAATCTAATATTTCATTTGTATCCAGATCCTTCTTCAGCGTCTTGTGATTTTTCCGTAGCCTCTCTCGTTTATCAGGATCCATTGTTCATCCAAAGGCAACACCTATCCCCCAATGACTGAAATAATAGTTATCTTTAGCATGACATCATTTTAAGCCATCACGATTTGCTGATATACTAATATATAGAGAGATTACATGTAGATCTATATGTATTCGAGTCTGGAAATCGTATGAGATAAATTACCATAACATTACGGACAATACTCATACCAATTGTCGTCGACAGTAAATTTCTCATCGAAATACATACAATTCAAAGTACTCCCAATATGGCGGCCAAACCTTGATGAAGGTTGTCACTGAGGTCAACGTGCACTTGAAGATATAATAATGTTACAAAATTACATATCAACCAAGTTCAATGGTTAAAATAATTGATGTAGATGTTGTGAATAACAGTTTTGTATACAAAACAATCTTCCAGTCAATAATCTTTAATATTCGGTATTGTTCGGGAGATGTTCGTCCGCTGCACTTTTCGTCATTCATAGGGCGTCATATGTATGGAAGGCAAAGGTATGCCCATCGCATGAAGTATCACACAGTGTTCAGTTAACAATTTTCACTTCTTTATATTCCAAATGCAGAAAAACAAGCCACAATGGAAAGTGATTACCACTGACACACGTATAGTTGTAAAACACATCCATGTGTATACACATTACGTTTTACATGTTGAGAATTAAACATGTTTTAGATACATAGATACATTACAGTGTTACTCGTGGTTTTCTACAATGACTACGACGCTCCGCCAGGACATAAAACCATTCAAAAATATACTATAAATTTTAAATAAAAAAATAAAATTATACGAAAGTCATTGATTTGTGACAGGAATATTCGCCTACTTTCAGACCAATGTACTAATCACTTGTTAAGATTGCCCGGGTTCGATTTCAAACATGGGTACAATGTGTGAAGCCCATTTCTGGTGTCCCCGCCGTGATATTGCTGGAATATTGCTAAAAGCGGTGTAAAACCATATTCACTTTACACTGTTACATTATCAGATCGTGTGTACAAGAATTCCTTATATCACTATCACTGGGATGCTACACATACATGCAAAGACGAGATATCTATCGTCGATTAAACGGTGAGTTGTGTCTCTTGCAGAAGAGTGTATAGGTCAGACCTTAATGCGTGAAGAACGTCGAGAACGTAACTTATAGCCATGGTTTCGATTCCACTTGAGGTATTAGAGGCTGTTATGGGTGTATCTGTTCCGAATTTGGTGATAGTGACAGAACAGTTCAAGTCATCATCTCTGAGTAGATCCTTATTCATATAATCCGTTCAATAGATGGACCCCCTCCACACACACACACACACACACACATCAGATTGTAATTATTCATTCAAACGGTGTGTAGTTTCTGAAATTGTTTGGAACAATTTGCTCAGATATGTTTCCCTTTCCCCTGTTAGCGATAAAGTATATATCCCTGTAAAGTTCTAAATTACAGATAAATGATGAACACGGGTACTTTCGATTATATATTTCTAATACTTTAAATATCATTCGACCATGAAATGGATTGCTTGTAACATAATTTCGGATGCTTGGGATTGTGATGGGTGAGGTGGATAAGCTCATCGTAACGCGAACAGTAAAGCATCGTCACCGGTTGATATGTGTAACATAAAGTTCATGATATACCCGGGTCGTAACATGGGCTCATGGAAATGGACAACAAATCACCACTATAAGATATCAATTTTACGTCGTTTGAGGAACGTGTATGAAATTGAAAGAATAAACTTTTAAAACGTCTAACCATTGTGTATATCTCATTACAGGGACAAATACTCAACAATGCCCAAAACACACCCCAAAACGGCCCGGACTCTGCTGTTCACAAAATGTACTATATTGTACCTGCACTAGCATGTCTCGCGTTGTATCACTGTTGGCATATTTTGCCATTTTCAAAGATTGAGATCGTGCGAAAGCGTGAATGTTATTTACATTTGTTCATTCCACGCTACCGTATGTCCGGGACTTGGCAAATGGAAAGCCTACCCGGAATGCAATTTGATATGTTTATGGCCTATAATATGTACAACAATGCGTATCATGTGTTAAAAAAGCTTATGCAAGTTGATCGATGCACACAACCATGTTGACTTCAAAGTGGCTTCATATCACCCTTTGCCAGCCTGTTACCATCACCAATTCAACGCTGGTGTTGTCAGCCATGTCCACAAAAAGCATAATGTCTGGTGTGTGCAAATACATAATGTTGTCTCAAACATCACCAAACAACTGAGTGAGTGACAAACATATGCTTTTTTATGAAGGTATGCATGTCAAAATATGAACGCCAGAACAGTCAAATATGTATCATAGACGGATTTGGCGCTTTTGAACATTTGATGAATATGTAATTTTCCAAAGTCAATTTATGGATAATTGCTGAATATATATGATTTTTGGGTAAATTTGGACTGCATTTGAATTGGGTTACATAACTCTAAAACATCAACGACAGAGAATTAGTAGTGGTAGATCTGATATGCCAATTAGAGGGACATTACTGATGTTTTTGAAACTGAAAATAATGCACTTATTTTGAATTACGTCTCCTGCGTGTAATTGCAGGGACTTTCCTTCTTACAGCTGAAGCAACTTTGAAGATATGTTTTGCCACAATGATTTCATAACATCTTCACTGGAATGTATATACACCCAAAAATTCCTTGATACATCAAAACAGATTGGATGCTGAAGTACATATTATCAGTATCTATGACCAACGCGTTAATATAAATTGTTATTTTATTTCATCACAATCATTACAAAATGAAAAAATCCATAAAATTCATAGTAATTAATATAGTTGCAGGCAACGATGAGGCCTCTTGGCTTTACTTTCTATCTATTGTATCTGAGGGCTAGATATCATCGTCCAAAACGGGGCCAGAACACACGTGTTTTGACAGGCGAGCGGATCTTCCAAATACAGCCGGGGTCACGGGGTCATGTACGTTTTAAGAAGTTCCGGAGAAGAAATAGTTCCCTCTTTAAAGGCTGTATCTCAGTTGTTCTTGGGTCTACGTTCAAAACAATTAGTGTTCTGGAATCACCAGGACATCATCTACCATACGGGCACATTTTGGGAGCAAACTACTCAGAAAAGTGCTGAAAACATGGCCAAAAAACTGAAAAACAAAATAACTGCCAAACGGTACGTTTTAGCGGACTTGATCCGTCCAGGCAAAATTGTTGGGAATTCGATTGTGCATCTGTACAATAAATTTGGAAGTGTTGGAACAATTAGTTCTTGAGATATTTGCTGTCAAACGTTGAAATTTTGGAATTAATTTTGAATTATCTCCCCGTTGCTATTGGGCCAAGAGCCTAGAGATTTTTAAAGGGAATATCTACACCTCGGTGCGCATCTGTGTGATTTTTTGTAAGCGATTCGAGCATTGGTTTAGGAGTTATGTTTAGTACAAAAAATCGGCGGAATAATAAAAATAATAATAATGATAATAATAATAATCCGAACGATTACAATAGGTCTCCTGCCTAGAGGCAAGGAGTCCTAATTAATAAATTATGCTTCTGTTGCTAAACATGCCCAAATAAAATCGCATGTTAGCTTTTATCTGTGACCTCACCGGCTAGAGTCCGTTTGGCGGCTCAAAAGCGGGCCGATGAATTGCAATCTAACTCGAAACTGATAAACATATAATACTCAATGAAACGCTGATCATAATAAAACACCAGACCAACCAATGTCCTGAAATTAAAACAAGCTGTTTTTCAGCAATTTATCGGTCCGCTTTTGAGCCAAACGGACTAAAGGAAGAAATATGTTATCAAATTATGCACACAATGTGTTGTCTGTCCCGAAATTCCGATAGTAAATGGGTCAGTTCCCTTTTTATGTACAACCGTACTGCCTCTTTTCATTAGTGATATTGATGTAATCAGTTGTATCAATATGGTGTGCATGGTTATGCCTTTGGCTTGCAAAATATACCCCTGAGTTACCGCATGAAACTTAACAATTGTAGTAGGGAGCATCTTCCTTTGAAGGGAAAAATGGCACTTTGATGCCTTCCCCGAGATTGTAAAGGGAAATCCAGTAAGACCAGACGCATTTTGAGCTACAAGTTTCTTAAGGACCTTTTCGATGTTATCAAGTCGGTCGGGGACATCAGTGGTGTGTCTCTGGCGTTCCTGCAGTTTCCGAAGCCTCTTTTGTTACGACTAACAAAATCTGACCACAATTCTCCTCTCCCACACACACTCGAACTGCATCGTTAGTACGACACTATCTGAAAAAGATATGTCCATTTATACATAAACAATTGGGCTGTATAAGTAAGATAAAGAAAAAAGACATAGCTATAACGATATTAC